AATCAATCAATCAATCAATCAATCAATCAATCAATCAATCAATCAATCAAATAATCAATCAATCAATCAATCAATCAATCAATCAATCAATCAATCAATCAACCAATCAATCAATCAATCCATCGAACCAATAAGAATCCGAGGATCTTGATTCGTTTGATTGATTGATTGATTGATTGATTGATTGATTGTTTAACCGATTGTTTGATTGTGTGTGTGTTTGTTTTTTGTTGTGTTTGTGTGTTCCTGTCTCTGTGTGTGTTTGTGTGTTCCTGTGTGTGTGTGTGTGTGTGTGTGTGTGTGTGTGTGTGTGTGTGTGTATGTGTGTGTGTGTGTGTGTGTTAATGTGTCTATGTGTTTGTGTGTGTGTCCGGTGTCGTGGTCCGGGTCGGGGCCGCCAATCAATCAATCAATCAATCAAATCAAATCAATCAATCAATCAATCAATCAATCAATCAATCAATCAATCAATCAATCAATCAATCAATCAATCGAACCAATCAAGATCCTAAGATCTTGATTCGTTTGAGCGATTGATTGATTGATTGATTGATTGTTTAACCGATTGTTTGATTGTATGTGTGTTTGTTTTTTGTTGTGTTTGTGTGTTTGTGTGTTCCTGTCTCTGTGTGTGTTTGTGTGTTCCTGTGTGTGTGTGTGTGTATGTGTGTGCGTGTGTGTCTATGTGTTTGTGTGTGTGTGTGTGTGTGTGTGAGTCCGGTGTCGTGGTCTTGGCCGGGACCGCCAGGTGGTCGACGTGTTTGCGGTCAGCGCCCCTCACGCAAGCGGCGTCGGCACGAGCGCCCGAGCTGCCAGCGACGACTGAGGGCACCGCTGCGTGGCTGTGGGCATGACCGTGTGGTTGCAAGTCAGACCGCGCGGCCCCGATCCTGACCGCAGTTCACGAGAGGAGGACATCTGCGGGCGACAGGAACAGTTTGCATTGGTCGCCGGTTCAGAACAATGAGTCAGGGGGCGAGAGGGTCTGCGGGGAGTGCATTCGTCCCCGTGTCAGACGCCGAAATGGCCAAATTAAGGACGACGTCTTGCGTGTGGAAATACATGATGCAAGGGTAGGGGTCGGGACATGGGACAAGATGCACGGGGTCCGGAAGCTTAGATGCAACCTCTGCAAGCATATATGACAGGGGAATGTGTGGAAGGCCTCACGACATTTCACTCAGCAGAAGAAACGTCGTGCGGCAACAATGGATGTGCTTGTAGACATATGGAATGGCACACACTATGTATTCGCAGATGAGCACATCCCGTCCATCCTGTCGTACATGGAGGACAAGGGGATCGGGGACGCAAGAGCAGTTGCCGGCCATTCCCCGCCACGAGTGCTGCCATCCGCTGCACCCAGGGACGAGGTGCAGGACGTCCTCGACGAGGCAGAGGAGTGTGAGATGAGAGGGCAGGGGCACGACGAGGGAGGTTTGTCAGGCAGCGTGGACTTGGAGGGCGAGGAGGCGGTCTTGACGTCACGCGGGGCAGGGCGGAAGGACACGGGGAAGAGGAAGGCGGTGGACATCGTTGACGTTTTACCTGCGTCGGGGAAGAGGGTCCGGCAGAGTTGGATCGATGAGGTTTACGACACGGAGAAACAGTCTCACTTCAGCAACAAGTTTCTCCAGTGGGTGTACGATGCAGGCATTGCGTTCAATGCCTTCAGGAGACCGTCTTGGAGGGAGGTTAGGAAGGCAGCTGAAGAGATGCCTCGAGGTTTGCGGATGCAATTTCCATCGTTCAAGGAAATCGGCGGCCGGGGTGTGCCTTCGCAGAGGGCGAAGGTCGTACGCTAAGATCAATTTACATATTTCATGCAATTCCTTTGTTTATATGTATTTTATTTGAGTTTTTATGTGTGATTATGAACAAACAAATTATTGTATAACCCCATCGTAAAAAATCATACCAAAAATATGCATGTAAAATATCGTCATGCATAAAAATTGTGCGTGAGTCTTATGACTAATTTTTCTCCCAAGAGTAGAACCCCCTCTCTCTCAAGCCCACCCTTGATCCGCCCTCATATACTTGAGGGCGTGTTCACCCGCTATCTTGCAATTACCATTACTCAAACACACAATACAACATAAACTAAACACAGGTCAACACATGGCAACGCAGTTAACTAGGTCAAAAGTTTATGACTCTATGGTTGGGCACTAGACTCGGAGTATGATTTCATTATATCTCAATAATCTCATCATAATTTATCATACTCAGTCTTACCTTCCACATTCCGCACATCAACCCACACATTTCACATCAGTTTTTTTTTTTTTTTTAGACAAAAAATATTATTTTTATATCCGACATTGTTTCATATCCTCCTTTTTTTCATGCATTATCTTTCCAATGGATGTTGCCATGAGAAGCCATGTAGAACCAAGTGGAAAGGTGAATCTCCCCTATTTGGTAATAGATGGATACGCAATGCATGAAGGTAAGTTTTCCTTAATTTATAAAATCAATGGAAAGGATATGTAATAAGGGTCTCTTGAGAATCAGAGACTTGTGTGATAAGAAGTACTATAAACTAAGGGCACTTAAAGGTGGTTGAACAACTCCAAAGATCCTTCAGGTCATGACCGAGCGCCATTTTGTGACTGGGTAGTCGTAATGGACCGGGTCAGTTGCACGTAGCCGATCATGCTTCGATAACGTTTCGGCATGTTTCTTTTGGTAGACAAAAGAATAAAAAAAAAACAAAGTATACACGTGTAGATTTAAATGTTAAAAAAAAAACAAACAAAGTATACATGTGTAAATCTCTTTGAGATTTAAATGTTTTTTTTTTCAGGAAGTTCGTAAGGATTTAAAACAGGGAAAAAAAAACAGCGAGGAAAACAAAAAATGTGTGTGTGTGTGTTTTATAATTTACTATGTTTCTTTTATTCCTTCATAATCATCCAATCAATCAATGATTATCAGAGTGCGTTTCACATCCCCCCCTACACTCACGCTGTCGAGCGCATCGGCTCCCGCCTTTTTCGTAAAGGCGAGAGCCCTCCCGACTATATCACGCAGGAGTAAAACAAAACCAAATCAAAAGACAACTCGGGAACGATGCAAAATAACCCCGTGAGCCGCTGAGGCAGGTCTGGTCACGTCGTCCCTTCGTCCGTCCTTAGGGCGCTGATCTCCTACGTACGAAACGTACGCCGGTCCACTTGGCGTTAAACCGCCCGTACCTATACTGCAGTGATCGAGCAAACGCCCTCGGCTGACCTATCTCATCAATTGCATTTAAAAGCCTTAGCATGAGGCTCAGTAGCTCGGTAGGGATATGCCCCTAAAGGTTGTGACAGTCTCTTAGGGAAGGTAAGATGTGCCACGAGGGAACCTATCCTGTCGTAGGGGACCACGGGAAGTACAGTTGGCGCACGTGACTAGAGCGGCGAAGGGACGATGCGACCACGTCTGTCTCGACGGTTCGCGGGATACTTTGCGTCGTTCCCTAGTTGTCTCTGTTTTTGTTTTGTTAACTCGTGCTTGACATAGCTGGGAGGGCTGCCGCGCTTTACAAAAAGGCGGGCGCCGAGACGCTCGACAACGCACATGCACAAACCCACACACATGCGACCACCCAAATAAATCATTCATTCATGAATCAATCAATCAATTAAATCCTCACTCTAGAAAATAATGAATCAAAATCGTAAATTGACAAAATTGAAGTCAATTTATCAATCAATCAAATGGACTGCACACACACACACATATACAGACACTCACAAACACACGCACATACACACAAATGCGCGCACTCACACACACACACACAAAATGTGTGCACACTCGCACACATGCATGCATATCCACATACACTCTCGCATAGACACACACACACACACACACATGCATACACGCATACATGCACATATACGTACATTCACACACATACACACATATGCACATTTACACATATAAAAATACACACACACATAGGTCATTCAATCACACAATACACATGCACATATACACACAAACAAACACCCATTAACAAGTGTTCTTCATTGTCTGCAAGAAAATTAAAGCTACTTCAATTTTGATTATACTAATTTGGGTGGTTTATTGTCTCAGCCTGTTGTGGCGAAAATCCAAAACATACGCACACACACACATACACGCACGTACACACACACGCATACCCAAACACACACGCAAAAAAANAAAAAAAAAAAAAAAAAAAAAAAAAAAAAAAAAAAAAAAAAAAAAAAAAAAAAAAAAAAAAAGATGTGCTCGGACTGACCAGTTGTCACTCATGGTTTTTTTTTTTTTACCAACTTACCAACTTTTTTGCTTATTATTCAATCAATTAGCCAATCAACCGAATATCAATCAATCAATTAACCAATCAATCAATCAATCAATCGATCAATCAATCAATTAATCAATTAAATATTTTTGTTTCTCCACCTCCCCCTCCTCCAAATATATATATATATATGGGTGAGTGATAGTCTACTTTGATTTTGGTTGAGGTAGATTATCATTTACAGTGTAATCAGTGAGGGCATTCTGCAGACTGTTGAGGGTTCAGCCTCCTGATGAGTCGGTGAAACTCCGACGAAACAGTTTGTCACAGCCCCTCGTTTGTTGTCCTCTTCTCCCTCTCTGCCTACGGTTTACCGGGCAGTTCTATTTGACGATATATATACATATATATATATATATATACATATATATATATATAGGGTTACCAGGCCGAACGTACGGAGGGCCCTAATCTGACCCTCGAACGTTCGGGCGTTCGGGTCCCCGTACGGGGCCCGAACTTGAAGGGGTTCGGACCCCGCAATAAAATATTTGGCACCTAAATATATTTTTGTTTTCCTGAATTTGTTTTTGTGAGTTCTTTGTGATGTAAGGTATCTCCTGATTAGTTTTGAAGTCATTCTGTTCAGCCAAAAAAAAAGGAAAAATCCTCAAAGGTGGTGGTGTCAAAACTTGCTTTCCCACTCACAAATTTATTTTTTCTCTCTTTTCACTTTTTGTTTTTCTTTTATTTCGGGGCATAAAACAATTTATTAATTTTTCAAACTTTATTCGTAGATTCTCTATTATGTAAGATACACATATATAAATTTTCATAGCATTTGTCACATCCAAAACAAAATGAAAAATAGCCAAAGATGGTGGTGTCAAAAACGTGCTCGCCCACTCAATAATTTMATTCTCGTTTTATTTTTTCTAAATTTCATTATTATTATTTATTTTTAGTATTTAATTTTTATTTTAAATTTGGTAAGGAATTTGGATATAACGTTGAGGTAAATGTTGTTAAGTTTATTCTTCTGCATAACATATATTGTTTTCAAATTTTTTGAAATTCTTTTTTTTTTTTTTTTTTTTTTTTTTTTTGGATCCGCGTTCGGCCGAACGATCGAACGCGTAGAGAGGGGGTGCCGAACGTTCGGGCGTTCGAGTTCGGGCGTTCGGTCCGTCCCGAACGCCGGCAACCCTGTATATATATATATATATTATTTTTATTTTTTTTTCGTTTATCCTCAAGTGTTGGGTTGGTGTCCCACAGCCTAAATCCACCACCTTGGCCCTTGAAAACCCTCTCGATGGATTGCGAGATGGTCTTTTCAGACCATGACTAATGAACCCCGGTGACGATAAGCTCAATTATTGTTCACAAGAATATATACTACATGCTTGGTGCTTGGAAGGTCTTCTTCGCCCCACCCCTTCCCTTCAATCCATTATCTGATAAACTGCATTCATTCACCAGTATATGGGTTGTGATCGCTAAAGACCACATGCAAATCCACTTTTATTTCCCCTTTTTGCTTGTCTTTATCCTCATGCGTACTTGTGATGAGTAATCAAATCGATGCCCGCCAAAAAGATGAACCAGAGTGTGTGTTTGATTTTAAATAATAATAATAAATTAAATTAATTAATAATAATAATAGGCTACTAGAGTGGTCCAGAACTACTTGCACGACCGGGGAAAAAAAAAAAAAAAATCATATTTTAATTTGATTTTTTATTTGAAATCTGGTAACGAATTTTGATGTGACTCTAAGGTAAAATTTTTTCTGTTTATTTTTTTGTCGAACCGTTCAGAAAAATAGGATGACCCAGGCGGCACGGCCAATACCCTAGTAAAAAAAAAAAGATAATAATATTTTACCATTGAAATGGTTGTATAAATGTGGTTTTGTTTTTTTCATACGTGTCTTCCGAACTTTTTTATAGGAAAGTTGAGAAAATTATTAACTTTATATGTAAGTCATCTTTGACGTTCATAAATAGGTTGAAAAGGTGTTTGGTTAATAAATATTTTTTTGAAATAATTATTATTAGTTTTATTGTATTATAATCAGACTGTCAATCATCATGATATGACCTATTCAAGAGCAATCAATATAAATTAGCGGTATACTTAATCCTCAAGGAATAGAAAAGCCAATCAATAATTTGTTTTGCCTACGCTGATTAATGGTGTTTTGCCTTCCACCCAATTATCGATGTTTTTCCTACCTCATAGGATGACTCAATTTCGAAAACACGTGACTCTCTATGAATTTACCTAAGTAGCAAATCCGGATATCCGGCAGACCAATTTTATCCGTAATTTTCAATCCGGATGAAATTTCCGGGATTATTTCTGGTTATAAAAAATCCGGCCCTGCGCAAAATATTTTTTTTTTACCGAAAAATAAGAATTCAAAAAACTCCAATGATAAGAATAACTTTTGGCTTGAGGCCATCTTTGATTACTCAACAGACATAAAGATAAAAAATAAAACAGAATAAAAAAAATAATATTTAGATAAAAATTTATAGAATGAATTAGGCATCCCCTTTCTAAACCCCTTTATTCCCTATCTTATCCCCTTTGAAGTTTGAACCCTTCTAGGTCCTATCAAGCT